TCACAGTATGTCGAGACATCTGCATCGAAAAACAAACTGAAATCTATAGAGGAAATCATTTCTTTCAGTTGTGCTATGTTTGAGGATTGGTTTGTCTCCGTTTAAGCGTACACTCTTTGCAGCAGGTGACTTCCTTGGGTTTCTTCTTACTGTAAACAACTGGAGATAGCTTGGCTATCGAATGATCAGAGCTTCCAGGTGGAGCCCGAGTGTTAACTGAAAATATTTGCAGGTTGTTAACAAACACTAAGTCCAGGGTTGCTTCTAACCTGGTAGGACATTTCATGATGTTCTGTAGTCCAAGTGTTAAGAGGCATGTTGTGTCAAAGCTATTGAAATCACCAGCAAATATGCATAGGGAATGGTCGATGTGTACAATGACAGCAGCTGTGAAGTCATCGGTGATCCTGTTCTGGGCTGGATAGGAGACTTTCTCCTGCAACGTCACCTGAATGTGAGAGTATGAAGCAACCTATCAGAATCCATCGAACTTCAATGCGGCGTACCTCAGGGCTCGGTTCTCGGACCCCGCCTGTTCCTGGTCTTCATAAATGATCTCGCGAGTGTGCTATCTTCTAACTGTTTGATACTTGCTGATGACCTAAAGGTATGGCGCACTATAGCTGCAGTGGAGGATCACACAATGTTACAGGAGGACCTGGACAAAGCGTACACATGGTCCATCGAGAACATGCTGCAGTTTAACGTCACCAAGTGCAAAGTTCTCAGTATATGGCATAAGAACATGCACAACTACCAACTAGGACCACAAATACTACAGCGGGCTTCTCACGAGTGCGATCTCGGTGTGATAGTTCAAGATGACCTCGGTTGTTTGAGGCAGACTGAAAAGGCAGCTAAGAAAGCGAACCAGTACCTCGGCATTCTTCGCAGAGCCTTCGGGAAGTTTGACCCTTCGATCTTCCCAAAAATGCTTAGTGCGTACGTGAGGTCGCACGCGGAATACGCTATCCAAGCGTGGCAACCCTGGCTCAAGCACTATCTCACCGCGCTCGATACTACACAACGTAGGGCAACGAAGAGCGTCAGAGGTTTGACCGGCCTCCCCTACCCACTCAGGCTGAAGACCCTCAAAATATACAGTGGACGTTATCGGCGTCTAAGGGGCGATCTCATAATGGTGTACCTAATCCTGAGAGACCCCAACCACCCATGCCATTCCCTCCTAATACTCAGTCAAAACACCTCGCTAAGAGGTCACCAGTTTAAGTTAGTCACGCAGTACAGCCGCCTGGAATGTCGGCGAAACTATTTCTCCCTTCGAGTGGCACAGCCTTGGAATGCCCGCCCGGAACATGTAATTAATGCGCCCACTCTATCCCTTTTCAAAAAACGCCTTGACGATACCCTGTCACATTTACACTAAGTGCTATAGCTCATGACCACCAGATGCTGGCACTAATGCACAACAGACAGTGGGTAGTGCCATAACCCTACTCGAGAATGAGTCACTCCAAACGCCTTGCACGAAATTTGATAAACGCTACTGCTATAGAAACTGGATTGCTGTATCCTGTCTATCCAAGATAGCTGCACACGAGTAAGCGTTGTCCTTGTTATTTTTTTTATATTTCTCGCCTATGATATGAACAATAACCACTCCCCTGTTGCTTTGTGTGCGTACATTCTCATTTCAAACTCCCTTTATACGACAGTGCAGTTACATCTGTAAGCGCCCGAACTGACGACTCCATTATGCCTTCGCTATCTTTTTTTATCACGCTAAACACCCTACGGGACATGTCAAGCACCTGCTTTTTTACCCGTTATAAATCATTGTTCATTGTTCATCGTAAAATTTGTCTGCTTCTTAGCTTGGAAAACTGTGAGATATATAGATGTTTACTAACAAGATTGAGCTGTATACACCCAGATTTTTGGCGTGCACTTTGGAACTAAGCAGTCGATATGTTGTGATAAATAGCACCGCATTTTCTCTACTAATGAACACCAGGAAGCGGTAATACTGGTGATAACACCACCACTCCGGTTGCGGAACATGCATGGACGATCAGCACGGTGGAAAATAAAACCACCAACAGCTACACTAGCATTTTCAACATGCTTGTGAAGCCGGGTTTCTCGTAGCATAATTTCTTCTAGCTGCGCATATTCGCGACAGCAGCTATTGCTTTTAAGTTCTTCGATTTTTCAAAGAAGTGAGCGGATATTGGTTTGGAGAAAATGGGTATGGTCATACTCGACATATTTCTTTTCCGCAGAGTAACCCTCCATCCAGCACGATTCATCTTTGCAAATTTATTACGTGTTTGTAGATTTTTCTTACTTTACTTCGGACAAATGTAAATGTGTTCGTCAATTGTGCGGAAACACTTAACGATTTTAAAATTTTACCAGTGTAAATAATCATGACGCTAATCGTAGATGGACCAGTAGGTGAGTAAAACAATAGGTTTATAAATGTTACCGATGAAGGCGCAAGTGTTGGTAATTCCTTGAAAGAGGACGTAGAGCACGACCAAATCTGAAGGCCCCGCAGGGAATATCAGTCATATTTCACTGATGGTGGGTTGAATCTGTGATACTGTGCCTAAATGTATGGTAGAAGGTTTAGATGACTAAACTATGGTTGCTACATATAGGTTCAAGGTCAGTAGGTCGTGAAAAGTTGAGGGAGCCCGTCCATAGCATTCTTCAGAGCCGTCCTTTAACTAGCAGCCTGTAAAAGTTTGGCCGTACGCATCTTGAAGCCAATAGACTTGCCAATAAGAATGGTATACCTTGAAGTCCTCCGTTGAGCGCCCTACTTAAGCATTCAACACGCAAATTTTCACGCATCTGGAATTCACTAGAATTCTGGAACAATGAACAATGATTTTATACGGGTCACGAAGCATTGCTTTGCAAGCCCTGTTGGTTGGTCTGATTTGATAGCAAAAAACCTTAATGACAAGGCAGTTAGTAGTTTTACTGTCAAAATAATGGGCCTATCGTTTTTGATTTAGTAGCCATGCACCACGAGAATTTCCATAGTTTCAATATGCGAAACAAGTAAATCCAATGGTATTTCCAAGGAGTAGGATGGAGAGTAGCGTCAAGTAACAAAATATAAGTGGCGGAGCGCGTCATCCAACCGACTTTTAAATATAGCTAGCGTGGGTGCAGAAACAACCGATTCGGGGAGAGCGTTCCATGATTGAAACACACGAATGGAAAAGAAGTTTCTACGGCACGCCAGGTTGCTGTACTGTTCTGCCGATATAAAAAAGTGGCATCTAAGTTTGGTGTTATTGATGAGTTGCAGTAAGGAGTGGCAAACATGATCTGGTTTGTGTAAAAGCAAATACGCCATAATCAAGTCGCCTCGTAGTCGGTGATACCTCCCGCTGAATACTCCAAAATGTTTCAGCCTCTTTTCGTACGGAAGGTGGCGCATTCCAATGACGTATCTAGAAGTCCGACGTTGAGGTTCATCAAGTGCATAAGGTCGTGCTTCAGCCATGGCTGCCAGGCTTGGATTGCTTATTCGACATGGGGACGAACATACACATTCAGCATCTGTCTGAAAATACTAGTGTCTAGTGGTCCGAACGCCCGTCGTAGCAAGCCGACGTGCTGGTTACAAGTTTTCGATGCCTTTGCGGATTGTTTGGGAATATCCTAAGTGATCCTGAACAAGTACGCCAAGATCGCGTTTGACAGATGATCGCTGCAGTACTTGCGTTCCTAGCTTGTAGGAATAGGTACTCTGGTGTCATATGGAGAGCGCTTTGCATGTGTCCACGTGGAACTGTAGCAGTTTTCATGTTGACCAATCATGTATCGTATCTAGGTCACACTGCAGTAAATTCTGATCGACATCCGTGAAATAACAATTTCTCGCATTTGGTAGTTGCTAGAATTCAGTAACTTTCGAATGTTATTCGCACATGCTCTTTTTTATTTTGACCTCATCTTTTGGCTGTATATACTGGTTGCCGGGTGCTCCATAGGAGTTTTGTCAGAGGCCATTGTCTTCTGATTTGGGAAGTGGCTGGACCGTGACCCGAGTAGCTGTATCGATTATCCGTACTGTCAGAGGAAACACAAGAGAATGTATTGTTTGAACAAAGCAGTACGCTTTAAGCACGTAGTGGAATAAGCATGGCATTCAGTGCAGGTATTGTCGGTTCTACTCAAACGACCGTTTGCATTCTTTCCTTTGTTATCCAGATAGAAATAACCGGGAATCTAACCCGACACATCAGGGTTTTGGGTTGGACACCTATATCCCTAAGTCCTCTAGTTCCGTGAGCATCTCTTCTCACAGCAGTCTGGCTTTTACCTTGATACTTTAGAGTAACTGATGTAGGTTTGGATTGCAAATGTTTTCCATAATAAGACCATAAACGACTTTAAAGTAGGCCACGGTAATTTCAATCGGTCTTGGAGCGCTGGCTCTGGTGCTCGGAATAACCAAGATCTAGTACAAAGTAAATTGAGCCATATTCTGTTGCCACATTTCACAATCAAGCACACGGCTGATACCTCAAATCCAGCTGTTCAAAAATGCGGCACTGTTCCACAGCGGACCTACAAGCAGACAAACAGCAACGACTACCACTCAATAACTGTAACAGTATCATATGATAAGTCGAATTCCATTGCTGTTTTGTAAGCTATGGCTAATACCAGTAGCTAATAACATTTGCTCGAAAACCACATTCGTCGACCAAAGGAACAAAAAGCGAACTTGACCGAGGTAACGGTATTAGAGCCTCGAAGCGGCTGTGATACGCATATGCTTGAGTGCTCCATATGCGCCCCTTATTTCAAACAGGCGTATGAATGCCTAAATCACGGCCAGGCTTTCCACATGCGCTCTTTAAAAATGATGAGTTGTACCGTGCATAAGTTGGGAGACATGATTCAACAAAGCGGTTTTAAACCTGGTTGCAGAAATGAATTTGTGACGCTGAGAAAACCTAACTACAGTGATGTAGGGCTTTGTGACACTCATCGTGAAAATCCGAACGTACCACTCCTGAGCTTGCGTAGAATCCTCCAGTCTTTCATACGTATCCATTATCTGATAGATAACGGGGGAACTGTTGCGTAGCACGTTGTGCAGCTTGAAGAACGCATCCAATGCTTCTTCATTGCGCTCCATGCGTTTGTACACTAGGCCCAAATTGTACAATGCTTCCACGCAGGTGAAGTCATCTTGCAGAGCTTCTGCGTAGCAATCACGGGCCCGCTCATAGTTTTGTTGTCGAAATAGTACATTTCCTTTATTGACCAAAGCTGTACAATAGAATTATCAATCGGAAGTAGACCCTCAGTTAGTGTGTGATAACAGGGGAGATATTTCACCACAAAACAGCGCATTAGCCTTCAGTTACCTCATGAACGTATGCAACAGATGTCACTTCGACGATCAAGAAACGGCCACTGATTTCATCTTAAGATAGCTTTTGGAAACGCAGCACATGGCCAGTTCAAGGGATACGTAGAGGTAAAGTATGGTCCGTTGCATCTGACTGATGAACGACTCAGGTTAGCCATGATGTTAACGTGATTGGTGTGTCCAATTTAGCAACGTGCTCCAAGTAGTCGGGGTGTATGTAGAATTTACTTAATCCACCGGATGCGCAGCTATTTCTAAGGCAAACTCGTCTTCAGCTATGCTACGCTTCATTTAGTCCACTAGGATCTGAATGACCTAGGGGAAGGTAAAGCAGACTAACTGGCTTCCTACACTTGTCTAAATGCATTCTAACTCTCGGTGGGGGACGTGCAACACACTTTGGCTCAATTCGTTCGGAGTCTTTGGATCAGAACAGGATTCCCTGCATGCAGAAACTTGGGAAAATCACACAAATTCACGAAAAGCGAGCTAGAGCGGAACCTGCGAACCGCCAACCGATAGCGGCTCCCTCCGTTGCTCATGTGTCAGTGACTAAGTTGGTTAACTGCAACATTATTACTCCCGAAGTGTACGGCTTCCGACTTAAGTGATCGGATCTAATAATACAACGGCAGTTCGGTTCAGTCAACCGAAGTAGAAGAGGGATTGTTGTGCTGTAGTTGGATTTCTCGGATGAGTTCGATCGCTCAGATCAAGGAATCCACCTTTCCAAGTACCAGTATTACGGTAACAGTGAACCTCCCTTGAGTTTAGCACCAACTTTCTTCTGGGACGATAGTCGACCGGAATTCGTAGCCTTCTGTTTGATCCCGTAAAAGTTAAAATCATGTGACCCGAAAAGTGACTTAGATGTCACGTTAGCTCCGGACTTCCAATCCAGCGAGAAGTGGAAACCAGTGGATAGCAAGAGCTTCCGAACTCTGCTAGGCTGACAGAATGCGCAAACTAAGTCTGTTCCCGCTACCCTATCGCTGTTCTCGTGGCGATTTAGTTCTGACTTATGGTATACTAACAAGGCGGATCGGCCCAAACCTACCTTGCTTTTTTATCCTGTTCAATTACCTCCTCTACGTGAACATGCGGTAAAGTTGCATAAAGTTCGATCTGATCGGGTTCGGGCAGACGCTCGTTTTTGACCTAGTGTGATAAATTCCTGGAATGCGCTTCCCGGGGACATCGCATTATCACCCAGAGTGACAAAGTTTAAACGCCGCCATAATGCCCTCAACTTGTAGCTACATACATCCCCTTACTCTTCTTAATTTTTTTATTTTGCTTACTCTTCAGTCCACTTCCTACTCAATCACTCGTACTAACTTCCGATTCAAGATGTTCTCACTTTATACCTTCACTACAATTTTACTCTTCCTTTTCTCATTACACGTGGCCGGCGCAGCGGGGAGTGCTAGCGCAGGGCAGGGGTTTGATTGGTCGACCACAACGTGCTCTGCGCATATCGATTTGGGACATCTAACTGGCCAATCATACACCGAATTCGAGCCTAGATCAACGACGCATTCAGGAGGGAACCATCATGAGAATCTCCTTTTGTTCTTACCTGAATATACCTAATAGGGTGAAATCGAGCACAAAAATAAACGATACTACTGTAAATTAACGAGTAGCTTGCTATTATTAGTTCGTAAACCTATCCGCATTTTCATCCGCAATTTGGCAGTCGACTGCATCGATTTATTTATCTATTACTAACGTCTTAAGTGCAACATTAAACTAACAAATTCTCACTTACTTCTCAAGCGTAATTTTATTACGTTACATTCGCTGTTGTCTCCCATTTGTCACTTCTTAAACTGTACGTGGATTTACTTTTCTTTGAGTCGCTGCATGTATTCTTAAGGTTAACTATTGTTTTGTCTACAGTCGTTACTTTAGAATCATAGTTTAACAGCACTGTTTGTTTTGTCCAACGCCCTAGGTTCTGTCATTCAGACCATGCGTTAGCTTGGTGATTCGGCCTGCTCTCTAACCCTACAACTGTAACAGTACCAGTGTCGTAGCAACGACTTTCGCCACACTTGGCGGTGGTAAAAATTCGCCCTGAATGAGGGCAGAATAAGCGTGAAAAGACCACACAATCGGCTCAGGGTAAAGTGCACATTAGTTTTCGATGAAAAGGATGATCATTTTTGACGCTGAGGCAAATGTGGTGAAATTGACTACCATAGAACAAGGAAGGGTACTGCTGGGAAGAACGTTTACTCGGGCGTGACACATGGCACAAATGTGTTATTGGCCATAAAGATTAACATTAAAATCTGCAACCCTCAGGTTATCTGGATATTTTGCGGTCTCTGTCTGGTATCGAACAATTGACAGTGCTTAAAAGCCGCCACCTGTCACATGCCGCCCGTGGGACATGCACTGCTTCCTTATCGGTGTCTTGATGGAACACATAAGGAGGGGAGTTGTTGACGTGGACAACCGTAGCTCGGCTGCACTATACGCCCTCTTCACTGAAGCACTAATGCGTTCCGCAGTGAGTTTCATAATATGATCACCTTTGAATGCGGTTCTATGGAGATTGCTTCTTGTGAATTGTTGGTACGCGATCTCGCTTGGCTATGTTGTTAATGCGCTCTATAAACTGCATCAGATAACCGTTCGATTGTAATGTCTCGACAAGCATATCTTTCTCTGCTTCTAATGTGTGCGGTATGCAACCTGAGTAGAAAGCGGTCCGGAATCGAGGGACCAACGGAACTGCCCTCGAAACTGCTTCGCCCAACGAGCCAGCCGGCAATCCTTAGTGTGAATCAGTGCACTCGTACTATCTCTGAGTGTTCTACTAACGTTTGATTTCCCTGGACTAGTGGTGTAACAGTTGATTGAGGGTTAATATCCGCCTCCACTTCCGAAGATCTATCCAGTGGTGCATACTATGTCTTAGAGGCAGTAGACATTCAGGTGCCCAGTGTCCCGTGTTTCGAAAGTGTGCTCATACCGAACGGTAGAAAGGAGGTGACAGACGCAAGTGTATTCCACAAGCTTTACCATCTACAGCCCAGAAGATAACTCCAATCCCATTGGAACAAATAGGCAATCCGTCTGAAATAGATTATCACTAAGCAAATGATACAGAAAATCAAGAGGAAATGTGGATAAAACTGATAGCGGAATACGTGTCGTACGTCCATACGTAGCGAAGACAAGACTATAAAAGCATGGAGTTTGCCCCGAAAACACACACAGATGCTGTGTCGCCTACAGTTTAATCATTGTTGTTGAATTCACTCGATAATCAATGAATTAAGCGCGTGCGACCGTGTCGTTGATTGATTGCCTCGTCATGTGCGGCGTCTGTATTCAAGAGTAGAGTAGCCAAAACATTCGTCAAGTTACTACGGACACAAGTAAGCCAAGTGCACACTGGTTTGTCGATGAAACAAGAAGGGAAACGCAAAGTAGGCCGCACTAGCAATGTTGTTGCGCGTACACAGGTAATTCCCTTGGAAGACGGAACGCGCCAAGTCAAAGGTCAAATATTAGCCCCGACTTCCTCACTTTGCACTTTAGAGGTGCGAAGGACATACCAAAGCGTGTCGCACGATGTTTCAGCCTACTGCGTAGCCCTTGCATAACTGCTGCATCCGATCCGAAGAGTGCTGTCATCCGGATACTCTAATTTGGACAGTTGATATTCCAGTAGAGCTTCAACCCTTAAAGAAATTCGAGAAGACAGAAGAGAGTCATTCATGAGCAGTACGACAAGGAAGGAATGCGGCTCTGAAGTGCTCTTACTTATCGCCGTGAAATTGATACAGCTTCTCATCGACCATTATACGGCCACAATAACCGTGGAATAGAAAGAAATTCTAGTGGTACGGTCATCAAAGACAGATGCAAACAGGTAAAATCAAATAAGTCAAAAGTACTCTTCAAGAGAAGCCTACCTTGCAGGATGAAGTTGTGGCATCAGCAGCACACCGTACCGACGCTTCGGTGCCACGGGACAACCAACAGGCGCGCGTGAGCTGAGTATACCGCGAAGTCTCTAGCACCTAAGCGGATTCGAACCGGTGACCGCCGGAGCACAAGGCAAGCGCGTAACCCTTAGAGCCACCAGTCGACATATTATATTATTCAACATGACCAACGTACAATTGCCAGTGCCACAACACATAGTTAACAACAACAAAAAGGCGGAACCGAGTAGTCAGTGAAAGGATTTGGAAAGTTTAGGTTATTGTGTTGTGAGGGCAGAGATCTTCCCGGTTGCCCGGGCCGAGGAAGCACCAGTCGATAGAATGATGCTGAAGCGCCTACCCGGGAGTGAACATGTGGTCAGTACCAGAGCGGAAGCCAACCCGAATTCACTAATTAATCTCTCACGAATACTTACTTATGGCAGTAAAAAGTTAAGTTTATACAACTCCATGGAAATCTGATCAAAGACGTCACAAAGCATTAACCACCCGTTCACCTGTAACATGTAGAAATGTTTCACCGCATCACATGACTCATAGCAACCAACGGCCTTGTAATTTGAAGATATTTCACGCGCCTGGGTCGAGGGATGCTAGTTCTCAGGCTTGTTATGACCAAGACGTGGATTATCTGCAGAGCCTGACTGACAGGCTTCTCAATGTGAATGAACAGGGGTTGCGGGTGGGACAAATCACCTGTCTTGGAAAGAAATATGAGGGAAGTCCCGGCCTTTGCGAGTCACGTTTGTTGTTGAAGGGAGTCCGAGGCTGCTACTATCCCGCTTCGGTAAACTGAGGTCTAGGGATCCATATTCGTCCAAACGTGGATCCGTCGGACAGAGAGAAACTGAAGTCCGCTGTCGCGGAGTTGAAGCGACGGACTGGTAGTGGAGAAACCAATCTTCAAATTGTAAATTTGCAGATATTTTCCC